GGGCGCTTCAGAAGATTCCAGGCAACAGAAGGGGAGGCAATAGCATCAGGCCTCGGAGGGGGCTCCTGACGCAACCAGGAGATTTAATGGGCCTCCTTGTCGGCGGCCGGGTAGGTTTGGGTTTAACTGGCTTATAGTGTAAATTTATGCCTGGCAAATTGATGCCGCCTGGCAAAGGGATTTTTGGCACTGAAATGACTGGATGTGAAGGTTGAGGCTTTCCAGAATCTGGCCCTTGAGGGAGCAGCCCTCCAATTCCTGGTACGTTTGGTAATAGCCCTCCAATTCCTGGTACGTTTGGTAATAGCCCTCCAATTCCTGGTACGTTTGGTAATAGCCCTCCAATTCCTGGTACGTTTGGTAACATCCCCATAAGATTCGTCCTTGAGTTCTGTTCTTCATCCTCATAGGAGTCCTCCACATTGACGTCTTCCATATTGGGATCTTCTTGATACGTCTCATCCTTATATGACTCTCCCAGGTCCGGGTTATCGTCAGTCGGATCTTCCACTTTTTTCTTTTCAGGCATTTTCTGAGTATGTGCTTCTATCTCTTCCGGGGTCAGCTCTTCTAACTCTGCTGGATTCAGCTCTTCAGAGGCTGTCTCTTCAGGCTTCAGCTTTCCGTGGCTCGGCCTTACTACTTTGGGCTCTGTGCCCTTGAGCCTTGCTGTATGAAGTGCCTTTGCAGTAGGTCCTGCTGGAATTGATCCTGTGACCCTGGGTCCCGCCAGACTGGGCCCTGCTGGGATGAGTCCTCTGGCACCTGGTCCCAATGGAATGGGGGGGCCCTCCACACCAGCTCCAAATGAGATGGGCCCTGTGGCACCAGGTCCGATTGGGGTGGGCCGCTCCACACTGGGTCCTGCTGGGATGAGTCCGGTGACACCAGGTCCCAATGGAATGACGGTCTCCTCTGCACTCGGTTTCAGCGGGTGTAGCATCCCTGGGTTGGACACCGCTGGGCTCAGTTTCTCTGGCAGATTAATAGGTTCTTCTTCTGAGACATCTGAAACTGTGCAAGGAAGAGGCTTGGCCTCAGCCTGGAAACAGCCCTGCCTGACCTCTCACCCACCTCCCCAGCCATGCAAGGAAAGCCCCCAGCATT